AAACGCAATACCATTTACATTAGCACTCCCCAAAATAAAACATGTAGGTATAAATCCAACAAAATATGTACAAGATCTATATAAGGAAAATTTAAAAATTCTTATAAAAAAAATCAAAGAACCAAATAAATGGAGAGATATTCCTTGCTTGTCATGGATACAAGGACAATACTGTCAAGATGTTAGTTCTTTCCAACTTGATCTATAGATTCAACGAAATCATAATCAAAATCCCAGCAAGTGATTCTGTGAATATTGACAAACTGATTCTAAAGTTTATATGGAGAGGCAAAAGACCTAGAAGAGCCAACACAATATTGAAAGAGGACTGACATAACTTGACCTCAAGACTTACTATAAAACTAGAGTAATCAAGATAGTGTAGTATTGGTGAAAGAACAGACAAGTAGATCAATGAAACAGGATAGAGACCACAGAAATAGACCTACATAAATATAGTCAACTGGTCTTTGACAATTCAATGAAGAAAAGACAGTTTTTTCAACAGACAGCAGTGGAACAACTGGACATCCACATGCAAAAATACTATAGACACAGACCTCACCTCCTTCACAAAAATTAACCCCAAATAGATCACAAACCTAAATGTAACAGGCAAAACTATAAAATTCCTAGAAGATAACATAGGGGAAAATGTAGATAACCTATTTAGTGATGGCATTTTAGGTATAACACAAAAGACATGATCCATAAGAGAAAGAATTGATAAAGTGGATTTCAATAAAATAAAAAACTTCTGCTCTTTGAAAGACACTGTCAAGAGAATGAGAAGACAAGCCACATACAGGGAGAAACCATTTGTAAAAGACGTATCTGATAAGGGACAGTTTTCTAAAATATACAAAGAACTCTTCAAACTCAACAATAAGAAAACAAGAGGGGGTGGGATGGGGTGGGGTGGGGAGGCAGAAAGAAAAAAAAGAAAAAGAAAAAAGAGAAAAAAAAGAAAACAACTGATTAAAATGAGCCAAAGACACCATACCAAAGAAGATATACAGATAGCAAATAAGCAGATGAAAAGATGTTCCACATTTTATGTCATCAGGTAAATACAAATTAAAATAACAATGACCACCACACACCTATCAGAATAGCCAAAATCCAGAACACTGACAACAGCAAATGCTGGTGAGGATATGAAGCAACAGGAACCCTCATTCATTACTAGTGGGAACATAATATGGTACAATCACTTTGAAAGACAGTTTGGCAGTTTCTTACAAAACTAAATATACTCTTACCATATGATTCAGCAATCGCACTCCTTGGTATTTAACTCAAAGGAATTGAAAACTTATGTCAATGCAAAAACCTGCCCATGGATGTTGATATTTATAGCAGCTTTATTCATAATTGCCAAAGCTTGGAAGCAACCAAGATGTCTTTCAGTAGCTGAATGGATAAATAAACTATGACATGTACAGGCAATGGGATATTATTTAATGCTAAAAAGAAATGAGTCATCAAGTCATGAAAAGGCATGGAAGAAACTTAAATGCATAATACTAAGTGAAAGAAGCCAATTTAAAAAGGCTACATGTTGCATTATTCCATGTTACGGGACATTCTGGAAAAGACAAAACTATGAGATAGTAAAAAGATCAGTAGTTGCCAAGGGTTGGGGGAGGGAGGAATATACAGGAGAAGCACTATACAGAGGATGTTTAGGGCAGTAGAAATACTCTTTATGATACTAAAACGATAAATATATGTCATTAAAAATTTGTCCAAAGCCATGGAATATACACCAAAAGGGAACTGTAATATAAACTATGGACTTTGGGCTATTTGTTGTGTCAGTCTAGGTTCATCAATTGTAACAAATGCACCACTGTGTTGGGGGATGGTGGTAATGGGGTACACAATTTCTGTGTGGGGCAAGGATTATATGGGAAATCTCCATACCTTCTGCTCAATTTTGCTGTGAACCTAAAACTGCCCTAAAAAATAAAGTCCATTAAAAAAATTAGGTATACCTGTGTGAATGGATATAAATGATATCCACGAAATACTCAGTTAAAAAAACACAAGTTCAAAACTATATAATGAATCTATTTATTTTAAAAACACCCTCAAAATATATATATATTTTTTATATATTATATAAAAGGCACACACACATACACACACGACTGCCTAGAAAAAATTCTGAAAGATCATACATCAAAAAGTTACTAGCGCCCAAATTGTGGCCTCCAAATATCATTTCCTATGAAAAGAGAACAGATTTCCCTAGACAAATGGCTGATACTGATTTGGGGCAGTAAATACACAAAATGAGGCTAGTACAGATTGTCATACCAAAGAGCAAGGTAACTATCAAAGATTACTAGGACTATGTCAAAAGGACTTAAGAACTAACTTGAAGAAGCTCTAAATGGCCAAAGATAGATAGTTTGTGCAATTATAATAACTGAAATTTCTAGAAGCACTCAAGTTTAAATCCACGGCATGTAAACAAATCAACAAACCCAAACTATTAGTCAATTATCATTGGAGGATGCTAGAGGAATCTTTCTTTTTTGGTTTTTTTGAAACCTAGAAATAAAGGAAAAGACTCAAGCATTGTATCATATCTTTCTTATATGAATGGTACCATTAGGTAACTAACCAATAAATGAGAAATTTTTCCTTATAGAGGTATTCCAGCTACGAAATATAACCATACTGTAATCTCTAATGAACCAAGCGCGTAGGTATTGAGCATGAATGGCTGCTAATATCACAAAAAGAGAGAGATGAGCAGACATTATGTCTCTTTCATGGAAGAACACAGCACCACTTAGGAAGTAATTGCAAAAATCACCAAAATCTGGATCACAGAAAACTCCATAGGACAAAAAAAATAGTGGTTTCTTTAGCTTAAAAAACAGCAAGAAGAAAAAGAGGAGACGGGAGAGAGGGAAAGAAAAAAGAAGGGAGAGAAAGGGAGATGGAGACAGTAAGGGTCAGGGAGAGAGGGAGGAAGGGAAAAAGGAAGAGAGTAGAAGGAAGAAAGAAAGGGAGTAGGGGAGAGAGAGAGAGAACTCCTGAGAAAGATTGGTGGGGAACCTAGAGATTTAAAAAATATACACCAGTCATAATATGTAGACCTTATTTGGATCCTGATTAAAAAATAATTTGTAAATATAACACAAGATATTTGAGAGAACTGGAAATTTGAACACTGATGGGCTACTTCATAATATTAAGAAACTTCAATGGTAGGTTGTCATGAAAAAAATACATTAAGAAACTATAATGTTTTTAGATGTGGTAGTGATATTATCTTTATGTTGTAGGGGAAAAAAATGTTTGCAATTCATCCTATAATATTTACAGATGAAATGATATAGGCCTTGAATTTGCTTCAGAATGAAAATTAAAGAAATGATGGCCATGGTCACAGGGTGATGGTAGCTGGGGGCAGGGAACAGATAAGCGTGCTTCAGATTGTTATTCTCTCTGCTTTTATGCAAGTCTAAAATTTTCCATAATAACAACATTAAAAAATATTTACCAGTTACACTAGGATGTGGGGAGAAGTGGAGGGAACTATTTTTTGCCTCTGCAAATGTATTAATTATAAAAATGATGCACTTAAACACAAATGATAGAAGATGTTAACAAAGATGCTGCCAAGATGTTAGGCCTGGAGATAGCCGTTAATATTTTGTCAGATATAGATAAAACTGGCATGCTTGCAAGTCATTTATTCTGAAGATTTCAAGACTGTAAACCTTAATCCATATTGAAGTAAAGCTGACTTCCTATGCAATTTATGCTTCATCTCTATCTTGAAAGGATCCTGCTTAATGTTTACATGAGAAGTTCTATGAAGACGTCCTGATTTTAAAAGTATATTTTTATCACCTGTGAAATTTACTTTTTTGTAATTTTAGTATTAAGTGACATGAAGTCATTTGTTAGTCAAAAAGTATTGATTTGTGACTCGAACACATTACACATTTATTCTCAATCTCATAGCTTTAAATGGCATCTATGTGCCAGTCACCCCAAAATATTTATCTCTAACCTAGATCTCTCTCCAGAACTCCAGATTCAGCCATCCAGCTGCCTACTCATATATCCACCTCTAATTTGATTTCTAAGAGGCATCTCAAACTTATGATGTCCAAAACTTAACTTTTTATGTGCCACTAAAACCTCCTTTTTCCAGTCTTCCTGTTAAGCTAAAGACAACTCCATCCTCTCTCTAGCACAGGTAACATTTAAGAGCACAGGCTTTGGGACCAGCGTGCTCTACATTTGAATCCTGACTCCACCATTAACTAGCAGTGTGGCTTTGGATAAACTACTTAATCTTCCTCTGTCTTAGTCTATTCAACTGCAAAATAGAGATACTAATGGTACCTACCTCTCAGGGTTGTTGTAGGGATAAACAGCATTTCCTACGTGCCAGGCACTCTGAGCACTTTCCAACAGCTCATCATCATTATTGTTGCTGCTATTTTAATTGTTCAGGCCCCAAACCTTGGAATTACCTTCAACTATTCTCTTTCTCTCACCTTCCTAATCAAAACACATCCAAATTCCAATCACTTCTCAAAGCACTTCCACTACCACTCTCCTGGGCCTGCCACCAGCACTTCTCTTCCCAATTATGGCCACAGCTTGCAAAACAGTCTCCCTGCTTCTACCCTTCCCCCTTCCCCATAGTTTGTTCTCCACGCAGCAGAGTGATTCTTTCCAAATGTAATTCAGATCATGGCACTCCTCTGTTCAGAACCCTCCAAGGACTTCACACTTCAGAAGAAAAATCAAAATACTTACAGTGACCGATAATACACTTCACGCCCTTCCTCTCTGACCTCACAGCCTACTCATCTCTCTTACTCCTTCCCACTCCTCAAACTACTACAGGACACCTGCTCTTGCTTCAAGGCCTTTGCATTTGCTTTTCTTCCTTTCTGCAAAGTCTTCTCCCAGATAGGCAGATCTGCACTGCTTACTTCCCTACCTTCCTCCGGTCTTTGCTCACATGCCATCTTCTCAGAGAGGCCTTCCCTGACCGCCCCATAACATTGAATGCCTTAACATTCTCTATGTCTTTCCTGCTGTGTCTTTTCTCTATAGCACTTATACTTTCTAACAAACTATATAATCTACTTATTTGGTTTGCTTAGTATATGGTTTCTCTCATTTGAATATCAGCTTCCTGGGGGCAGGGATGTTTGTTTGCCTAAGAAGAGTTATCTGTCTTAGAACAGGCACTCAGATATTGAAGTAAATCAATAAATTCAGTTTTGAAAAGCAATATGATTTTAAATGTTTCCTCAATTCTATACTGTTTGGAAAAATCAAATTAAAAAAATACACACAGATTTTCCTTTTTCTCGAAATAATAACCAGATGCAAAGAGACTTATGTCATCTTGTTTTTACTTAACCTTTGTGCTGTCTCAACTGTCTGGTCCCAATCCTGCAAGGCTAGTTGTAATTTCATTTTCTTTACAAAAGCAGGAAGGAAGCTTGGAAAGTTCACAATCATCTGGTTCACAGTGTCCAGAGCACCTGAATAATTCTGGCGCATCTCAAGGCATTGTGCCTAACAGAAGGAAATAAAGTGACATCAAAACTGTGATCTTACAAACCGCAGTTCTCACAATCCAGAGTAGGTACAATACTAGTGTTTTACATTTCCTGACTTTTCTGTAAAGAACAGTTATCACTTTAATGAGGAAAAAATGTTTTTATCGAAATTTCAAAATATCACAGAATAATAAAAATATATTTTATGTAACTTTTAATATTCACTTTTAAATAGCTAAAAAATATGATTAAAGGATAACATTATTAAAAATGTTTTTAGAAATAGCATAAAATAAAGAATTTCAATTCAGAACAGAAAAATTATCTTTTTAGATTAAAATATTTCCAGGTATTTACAAGTAGCATCTAAAATTTAAGAAATTTCTGAAATTTTGCATTTTTTTTTTTTTTAGAAATTACTTTTAGGTTAAAAAGATACAATTTTAAAGAAGAAAATAAAATTCATACAAATCTTTCTACTTCTACATTTTCACTTCTAGGAATTATCTTCAGGAAATAACTGTAAAAGATGACAAAGAAGCATATAGATGATTTTTATGGCAGAATTGTTTATGTATGATAGAAAAAACAAAATAACCCAAAATTTACAAAGATGAATAGTTAAATAATAGCATATCTATTTAATAAAATTATAGGTAATCATTAAAAGTGATTATTATGTAGACTTGTAGATTTATAATAACTGACATGAAAAGATATCATATTTATATAGTTTAACTGGTTATTTCTAGTGGTGATGTTTATTTTCTCATTCAGATTTTACTGTATTTCTGAAAAAAATGTTTTTACTATACCTATGCATTAATTTCATAGTTAGAAATAATAAAGCTGTAAATGTAGTTAGTACAATAAAAACAGACAATGAGGTACATTTACCACATTACCATATTAGATTTTTTAAAAATTTGCTTCT